GGTCGCACTTCCGCTGGATTGATGAAGCCGGCTCACCCAGAACCCAGGTGTGTCCTTTACCCAAGGGGGTTTCCAATGATTAATAGCCTTCTGACCAACAGGGAAGTGTTGATCGTATTTACAAACAATTCATTTTTTACATCCCCTCAGCCCTCTGCCCGACTCTTGCAAGACACCCTCTGCAGGTGATGCATTGGTCACTATTACCACCATTGATTTAGGGTCCCCACCCGGTCCCCTGTGCCTGTCCCTCCATCCATCACAGCCGCGCGCCAGCACACTGCTGTTTGCCTCTCGCTGCCCAGCTCCGCCGTGGACAACAACTGTCTAATTAAATTCTTCAGCCTCATTCAGCTCGCGTCTCCCATGCCTTCCTCCTCTGCGTGTCCTCTTCTGGAAAAATGTAAATGTAAACAGAGTGCCAGCAATGTCGGCTGACGAGTGTGGAAGAATGTCCACGTCAGCACCCCATTCAACAAACGTCTGCAGACTCAGAGCGTGTGGTGAGCAAGATACGCACAGCTGTCCTCCGGGTTGGCAGCTTATGTGGGTCACGACCCACGTGTGCAGGACACGGCTCCACTGAGCCCCTTTACAGCTTCTATTTCATGAGTGAAGAAAGCAATAAATATTTGATGCACACATGCAAGCAAAAAATCCTCGTAACAATTACAGTCCTCAGTTCTGTCACTGGTCACCTGGCCATAGCTGATGTTTAGAGCTACCTCCTTCTACTACCCATTCTGTTTCTCCTTGGCCCTCAGCTAGCACCTCAGTTGGTCATGGTTCTTTCGCTGGTGGGGTGACCCAACCCTTCATTCCTCAAGTTTGGGTTGCTGTAGTTTACCACGGACTTGGACCCTAGGGTCCAGTAGTACTAAGAGACAGCCTAAGACATTCCTGGGTTCCACATTTGTTCTTGATTACTGCCATTCTGTAGTGGCAATCTGATTCCCTGTTGGTAACCAAGAGCGTTCATGCCATCCAGTACAGAAAGTCCCTTTTGAGCGAGAGGCATGAGGAGCGCACAGTGACCAGGAGGCCATCTTAACATCCAGTTCCATGGAATCCATGTTGTGGCTCCAGATGGGACGATTCCTCCCTTTGGGACTATAATGCCAAGTCCTGAAAAGAGTAGTATCGCAGAGACAGGAAGCAAAATGTTTGCAAGTGGGTCCCTAGGAGTAACAGTGAGCAATGCCATTCCCAGTTCTGGCCCTTGGTTCCTGGGCCTGTGAATCCTGGATATTGGAGAAATAGCAGCATATATTGGATGCTGGATTCGGGCATATGCAGCCTCCTGGAGAACACTGCCCCAACCCTGTAAGGTACTGCCACCTAGCTGGTGCCTTAGCTGTGTCTTTAAAAGGCCATTCCATTGTTTGATCAAGCCAACTGCTTTAGGATGATGAACAGCATGGTGGTGGTGGCTGTGTGCCGTGGAGTCGGTTCCGACTCATAGTGACCCTGTACAGGGTTTCCGAAGCTGTAAATCTTTATGGGAGCAGAAAGCCTCATCTTTCTTCCGTGGGACAGCTGATAGTTTCGAACTGCTGACCTTGAGGTTCGCAGCCAGATTTGTAACCACTACGCTACCAGAGCTGGTAGACCCCACAAATTCCATGAGTATGGGCCACTGCCACATTTCATTTGCTGTGAACTGAGTGGGCCATTGCTCCAAGGTAATGCTGTGTGAGACACCATGACAGTGGATAAGGCATTCTGTAAGCTTGTAAATGTTAGTTTTGGCAGAAGTATTGCCCGAAGGAAGGCAAATCTGTACCCAGAGTAAGTGTGTACTCCAGTAAGAACACACCGCTGCCCTCCTATGATGGACATGGTCAGATATGAGCAACCTCTCACCAGATTGCTAGCTGATCTCCCTAAGGAATGGTTGCATACCTGGGCCTCAGTCTTGGGTTTGGCTATTTGCAGATTGGATACTCAGCTGTGGCTGTAACCAAGTCAGCCTTGGTGGCAGAAGTCCATGGTGCTGAGCCCATGAGTAGCCTCCATCCCTGCTACCAAGGCCACTTTGTTCATAAGGGATGGAAAAAGAGCAGGACTCGTTCCCACAGAATGTGTCAACCTGTCCCCTTGGTAGTTAAAATCCTCCTCTGCTGAGGTAACCCTTTGGTGAATGCTCATGAGAGACACAAATATCTTCACTTCTTTGGTCCATTCAAAGAGATGGATCCACATACCTCTTGTCCACACCTCATTGTCACCAATTTCCCAGTCATGTTCTTCCATGTCCCTGACCATACAGGCACACCACTGACCACAATCCCTGAATCTGTAGGCAGCCAAACATCTGCTCTTCCAAGCAAAATGAACAACCAGGTGTGCTGCTCAGAGTTCTTCCCATTGGGTCAATTTGTCTTCCCCACTGTCCTTCGGGGACGTCCCAGGAAGGCTACTGCCACTTCCAAGGGGAGCCTGCATACTGTACAGAATCATCTGTAAACCAAGCCCGAGCCGAGGGAGCATAAGGAACTCACTCCCCTGAGGCCCTGGGTGTAGAGTGGCAGAGGGAAGGGAATGTGACAGCAGCATTTGGGCTGTTTCCTCATACAATTTACTGTGCCTTCAGGTTCCCCTCGAGTCCCGTCCATTACACAGCACTTCCATTTAACCACGGAGCACTGCTGTGCACATCCAACTTTAAGACTCTGTGAGTCAGACAACATGCAGTTCATGATAGGCAACTCGGATCATGTGTGACTTGGGGGCCCCATGATTAGACATTCAGTATCTACTAAGGCCCACTAAGAAGCCAAAAGCTGTTTCTCAAAAGGAGAGTAGTCATCTGCAGAGGGCGCTATAAGCCACCAACAGGGGTGTGCCCCAAACCTCAAATTGCATCTCTATCTGTCACTGCCACTTGGAGCACCATTGAATCTGCTGGGTCACATGGTCCAAGTGACAGGTGGCGAGCCTGTTGCAGAGCCTTCTTTTTCCCTGGGCCCACTCACAGCAGCTCTGTTAGACACTTGACCAACAGGCTGAAGCAGCACACCCAAACTTGTGTCTAGTGGGTTATGCACTGGGCTGCTAACCCAAAGTCAGCAGTTCAAATCCACCAGGCTCCTCAAGAGAAAGATGAGGCCTTCTGCTCCCAGAAAGGTCCACGGCCTCAGACTCTCTGTACAGGGTCACTGTGAGCGGGAACTCGCTCGGCAGCACACAGCCAGCACCCCCAAACGAGAGATATGTGGCCTCCAAAATCCAAAGACGCCCAGCAGGCATTGTGCCTCCTTTTTAGTTGTGTGAGGGTCTGCATGCTTACCTTTTCCTTCAGTAGGAATCTCTCACTGAACTCCCAGAAATGTCACTGAGGTGGAAGACACCTGGATTTCTGTCAGGTTAATGCCCCACTAGCATGCAGATGTTGTAACAAAGTCCTGTTAAATCCAGAGTCATTGATACTTCTTCCTTACTACGTCCAGTCAGTATAATGTTATCGATATAGTCAGCCAGTGTGATGTGCCCAAAGTCCCTATAGACCTGACTTAGTGCTGGGGAGTTAATATATCGTGAGGCAGGACAGTGTAGGTGTATTGTTGGACTTGCCAGCTGAAGGCAAACTGCTTCTCATGATGCTTCAAATACAGCATTGAGAAAAAGGCATTAGCCAGACCAATAGCTGCATACCAGGGCCTGGGAGATGTATTGATTTGCTCAAGCAATGAAACCACGTCTGGTACAACACTTGCAACTGGAGTCACCATTTGGCTAAGTTTACAATAATTCACTGTTAGTCTCCAAGACTTAAGGAGCTTTGGTAGCATAGTGATTATGAATCAGTCTGCTAACCTCACAGTCAGCACTTTGAAACTACCAGCTGTTCTGCGGGAGAAAGATGAGGCTTTCTGCTCCCGTAAAGATTTACAGCCTCGGAAACCCTGTACAAGGTCGCTATGCGTAGGAACAGACTCCACGGCACATAACAACAACAAAGTCTCCAAAACCTATCTGGTTTTAGCACCAACCAAACGGGTGAGTTAAATGGGGATGTGGTGTGAATCATCACCCCTGCGTCCTTCAGGTCCTTGATGGTGGCATTAAATCTCTTCAAAATCCCTCCGAAAACGCAGTATTGCTTTTGGTTTACGATTTTCCTGGGTAGAGGCCGTTCTAATGGCTTTCACGCGCTGTTGTATCGTCTCCAAGGAGCAGCTGGTAGGTTTGAACCACTGACATGTCAGGAATGCAATGTGGGGGCGTTACTGAATATGTCTATCCCAATGCCCCATTCTGGAACTGGGAAATTACTGTAAGAGCGCGCGGGCTCCTGGGGTTCGTGGCTTGAGACACCTAGCGTGGGCCTGGGCGTTGGCATGTGTGTGGCAGGGGCGAGCCCTGCAGGGCGAACAGGCTCTGGGAGGAGGAACGTTCTGGAAGGCGGCGGATTCCCAAGCAGGCCTGTCCCGCGGGGCTTGAGAAGAAAGACGCCTTTGTCCAGTACTCCACAAGTGCTCAAAGCCTCCAACAAAACCGTTTGAAAACCCCTTTGTGAACTCTTTAGAACAAGCCTCACGGAGAGTCCCGTTGCCGCGGTGACGGGATCCCGGGGTGACGCGGGATCTCCGAAGCTTCGGAGACTGTGAAGTCGGCGATGAGGCACCCTAAGGGTGACCCTGTCGCCGGCTCCCACTTTCAAGTCACCTCCACTCAAATTCGGCCCGCGGGCCGGGGCCCTGGCGCAAGCGCACTGCACACCCCGCCCCCGCGGCTCTCTGGACCCGCCGTTGCCTCGGTTACCGGACTCGCCCTGAGCCCTTCTTTCTCGCGTGTTGGTTGGCCGCAGCTACTGTCCATCAAAATCGCTGCCGCCGCGGGTTGGACGTGGCGAATTTCGCACGCTCTGGCTCCCGGCCCCGCCCCCGGCCCGGGCCGCCGCCAGGGGAGAACTAGGAGTTCAGCGCGGGCGGCCGAAGGCGGCGGAGGGAGCGGCCGATCGACCGGCCGAGCCCGCTATTGGGCGCGCAGGGGTGGCGATGATCCTTGAGGAGAGGTTGGACAGCCCGGGCGGCGGTGAGGACAGCGTTCGGCTGCAGGTGGCGGGCAGCGGCCGCAAGGTGAGGGCACCGGGTGGGGGCAGCGAGGGGTTGCGGGTGCCGAGAGGCGCAGGACGACCGTGCAGGACAGGGGCCTGGGGTCGGAGGGAGGTTCGAGGCAGGGGATTGGGGCCAGAGGACTCGCGGGGTGCCGTGGTGCAGAGCGAGGAGCATGAGGGTACAGCTGGGGGGGTCGCGAAATGACGGGGTGTTGCAGGGTGTGTGGATCATGGTAGTCTGCAAGGATGCAGGCCGGACGGACGGGGTGCCAAGCGCCGGTCAGTGGGGGTGCGGGCCAGGGGCATTTGGTCATTTGGTCGCAGGTAGGGTTCCCGGGGTGCAGAGCACAGCACTGGAGAAGTCTCAGGTGAGGCCCTGGCGCAGTGTCTCCCTAGCTCTCAGCACTGCCAGGGTGGGGGGATTTACACTGACCTTTCTAGTCCCACCCAGCCCGACTACCTTCTGGTCTTCACCCAGAGTCAGGCAGGGCTTTACTGCTGAGGCCCGAGAAGAGTCCCTTTCTGCCGCTGTGTGGGATCACAGCATGTCCAGTGGCCTCCCAGGACTGGAGCCTTGTGAGTCTGGTGGTCAGCCTCTCAGAAGCCACTGAGCCCCTGTCCTCCTGCAGGGCTCCTGTGGCTTTCCTAGAACCCCCGTCTGCAGGTGCTGAGCTCTGGGTGTACCATGATTTTACTCCTTCCTATCTCCGCCCCCTTTGCCATGGGACAGCTGTGTCATTGGACATTGATTGTCACTGGACCACTGACCCTTCTGGGTGTGGACATGGCTGGACAGTGTGTCCTTGCATCACATTCTCAAACCTTGGCTCCACCTTGAAACCCCTAACTCCACGGTACTGACCAGGAGACCCTAGTGTGCTGAGGTCGTTCTGGGACATGGGGACCTGTTGCAGGGGATCCCTGAGGTCACTACGACTTCCCTGTGTTCCGTGTCAGCACCCTGCCCCCTACCCATGGGCTCTCCATCCATCTGGGGCTGCTGTGCTCCAAGCTCAGGTGTCCCTGCCGTGGTAAGCCACCGTCTTCCTCTCCCGTGTCACACTGTGTGTGATTCCAGCTTGCTGAGTTCAGGAAGAGGAGAGAGGCCGGCTATAGGCCAGGTGAGGTAGCCTGATCCTGCCGAGCCATGGGGCGCTCGGGGAGAGACAGCAGCGCCAGAGAAGCCGGACGTGCCATAGGCCATGGCCTGACCCTCTCTGTGTCTCTGTCCTGCCCTGGAAGGCTGACTGGTTCTGCCCATAGGCTGGGACTGGGAAGTGGGGTACAGGAGCTTGTGGTAAAGTGGTGGCACCCAATCTTGCTGGGGGCAGGCAGTGTGACTTGTACACTGCATAGTGCCAGGTCCTGCCACCATCCCTGGGCCTCAGTTAGCACACATGAAGAATGGGTTGAATAACTGCCCGAGGTGACCCCCCAGGGGTGCCCCAGCCTGGAAGCTCTGGTGTGAGTGGTGTTGGGAAGTGCAGTCTTGGCAGCCCCCCTCCCCCGTGCTAGCTTCCTCTGGTCCTGATGTCCTGTTTGCCTGCCACAGGTGCACCCCGACCTCTGCCACAGGGTAGGAGCGAGGCGTTTGTTTCGCTTGCTCCCATCCCTTTCCGTTGGCCTTGCCAAGGTCCTGCCCTAGTGCAACCCCATAGGAACAGCCAGAAGCCATGAGCCAACTTGGTCCATGGTGGGACAGACAACAGGTAGAACCAGACCCTTTGTGTGCAGGGGACAATGGGAGACTAGGCAGCCCCTGGACCCAGCTTGAGGGCTCTGGCTCTCCACGATATCCACACAACTGTTCCCGACGTTCCTGCGTGGGCGGCTTGGCCTAGGTGTGGGCGGAGTTCTGGTGCCAAGTCTGAGGCCGAGCTCTCCCCTTCCAACACGTCTCTCCAGGAGGACGTGAGAGCAGTTGGACCAATGGACTCCTGATGGTCCTTGCAGAGGAGGCAACCTGAGAACTGGGTGGCTCTGTTCAGCACATGGACCTCCACCCTGGGCAGACTCCCCCCTGCCCCGACTCAGGATTCATAGTCTGACCGACAGGAGACGGTCATCAGCCTGGCTCCTGAGGCCTGCTAGAGGGTTAGCTGCCTGTGTTCACAGAACAGGCCTGGGGTCACCGTGGAGAAGGGGTGCAGGCCCTGATGTGAGGAAGACAGACAGCGTCACATATAGAGTGGTGGGCGGTGTTTGCTTCCTTCCCTCCTCGTCCCACCCACCTTTGCTTCCCCTGCACATGGGAGCTGCCCAGTCCCAGGGAGAGTCTGCGCCAAGTCCACATTCCTGGGAACCACAGGGACCCCTGCCCTCTAGGCCCTCAGGCATGTGCTTGTTGGGATCTGGAGGGGGCCAGGACTGTGGGCAGAAGCGCCAGGTCAGCAAGAGTGAGGTCACAGCCCCAAGTGTCCATGCCGATGGGGGCTGACCCACAGTACCCGTGGAGCATGGGACTTGACTGATGGCCCAGTGACCAGGGAGGAGGGTTCTGGCTGTGGTCCGAGCCCTGGGGGCATGGAACACACAGGCCTAAAACCGGATATGGCCCCCCAGTTCGTACCCCCTCATTGGTACGTAGCTGGCTCTCATGGTGGCCTCCATGTTTCCATAGTGTGAAGGAGGGAGGGTGAGTGGGGGAGGGGGGCCTCCTGGCTGGGTGGGCTCAGCCGGGACCTCCATGGAGAGCAGAGGGCTCAGATGACCCTGGGGTGGGGACAACACGCCATGCCCAGGAACCTCCTGGGAGACAGTCCTGAGCGAGCCCATGTAGAATTCAGCACGTTGACTGTCCCCACCCTCTAGTGTGCTGTATCAGAAATCCAGCAAGTGAGGGAGGGCTTACACTACATACAGGGTTAGTCTCCCAGCTCTGAGGGCAGGCTTGTCCACTCTCCACTCTGTCGGCTCTGGGGGAAGGCCCTTGTCTCTCTAGCTTCTGCACGGGGATGATACCCATGTGGCCTGGCATCTCTCTTGCACATCTTGCTGTCCCCTTGTCTGTTTCATCTCCTTTATATCTGATCCGGTTTCTTTCAACAAAGACAGCCCACTCCCAAAGGGGAATAGGCATAGGGGCTAGGATTTACAGCACATGTTTTGGGGGACACAATTCAGTGCATACCCCACTCCCCCCTGTGTGTTCTCCCTGCAGAGCTGCGACCCGCTGGCTCAGTCCCAGCGCAGTCGGCTGCAAAGCCGCCGGGCCCGGGTTCACCAATTGATCAACAAGGAGCTGCGCATGCGTACAGGCGCCGAGAACCTCTATAGGTGGGTGCCCTCAATCACCCCTAGGTCCCTGCAAACCAGTTCCAGGCTGGGTGTGGGAGGGCCCTGGGCTGCTAGAGCAAAACACCTCATGGGAGTCCATGCCCAGGGTGCTGGTGGGGCCCCACTCACTCTGGAAGCTCTTTGTCTTTTCCAGCTTTTAATGATTATGAATCGGGCTGCTAATCTCAAGGGCAGCAGTTTGAAACTACCAGCTGTTCCGCGGGAGAAAGATGAGGCTTTCTGCTCCTGTAAAGATTTACAGCCTCAGAAACCCTGTACAGGGTTGCTATGGGTCGGAACCGACTCCACGGCACATAACCACCACCACCCAGGATCTCTAGTGGCTCAGTGGGTTAAGCCTTGTTCTTGTAACCAGAAGGTTGGTGGTTCAAACCTACCTGCTGCTCCTTGAAAGACAGCTAAGACAGTGTGCTTCGAATATATTTACAGCCTTGGAAACTCTATGGGGCAGCTCTGCTCTGTCCTGCAGGATCGCCGAGTCAGAACCGACTCCAGTGGGTTTTTTGGTTTGGGTGCTAGTTTTTGGTTTGGGTGCTCCTTGATTTGTGACCGTATCTCTCCAAGCGCTCCATGCCTCCACACCCCTCTCTGTAGGGGAAGCTGAGGCTCGGGGGCAGCCACAGGATGTGTGTGGGGCTCTGCTCTAGTCCAAAGGACCCCTCCCCAATTCCAGCACCATCTGCCTCCCTGTCTACCCCACCCCCACCCAGCCTGACCTTTCCTGCTGACCAGTGCCCCTGTCCACGCCCCCCAGACACAGGCATGAAGGACTCAGATCCCACCTCCCTCCAGGGATGGTGATCTTGAGCCACGTGGGCATCAGCCTATGTCCTGGGGCTGGTCAGAGGAGGTGTGGAGGAGACATGCCCCCCAAGACCTGCCTTGGGGGGATGTGACCTGTAGGAAGGGAACTGGGGGCCACGAAACCAGGTAAAGGCTGTCCATTTTGGCACCTTGAGCCCTTGGGCCCCCCGCTCATCTCAGACTGTTAGACCAGGGTGGTGGAGTTCCTGGCATGAGTGTGCCTCAGGGCAGGTTCTGACCTCTTTCCCTCCCCCAGAGCCACCAGCAACAGCCGGGTCAGGGAAATGGTGACCCTGGAGCTGAGCTATGTCAACGCCAGCCTGCAGCTGCTGAAGGAAGAGCTGGAGGAACTAGACAGCAGTGCGGAGGAGCCGGGGTTCCAGGGGTGCGTGTGTGTGCGCATGTGTGTGCACGTGTGTGCATTTGTATGCGCGCGTGCATGTGCGTGCAAGTATGTGTATGTGTGTGTGCACGTATGTGTGTGTGTGTGTGTGTGTGTGTGTGTAGATAGGGGAGAGGAGGCGTGTCAGTGGAGCAGCTGTGGCGGGTGGCCCTGGTCCTCAGGCACGCAGGGATTCATTCCTGGTCTGGAGCGGGCTCTCTGCTTACAGGGAAAGCATCAGCATTCCCATGATCCCTCTGGGCTTGAAAGAGACCAAGGAGCTGGACTGGTCTACACCCCTGAAAGTAAGTGCTGCCTCATTTCCTGCTGAGGGGCCTGAGGGGACACAGCCTCTCCTGGAGGTGTGAGGCATACATGAAGCCCTCCTCCAAGGGTTTGAAGGGACCTAGTCCTGCCCAGGGGCCACACTGGTGCCCCCTTGAGGTGGAGGTGGTCTGCCTGGTGGGGAGGCTGGGTTGAGGGGTACCCTGCCTTGGAAACCCCAGAGTGCCTGCTTTGAGCCCTATTCTGGGCCCATGATGGGGATGGTCCCAGCACAACCACCCCGGCAGATCCCCTCCCTGTGCCTCAGCGGGGTCACCATGGAGATTGGTAGGAGGACGCAGCAAAATAGAGCTGCCAGCTCTCCAGCCCACATCTGGGGATGGGGGGGTTGATATCATCTGTGAGGAACCTGGGGTCAAGAGAGGGGGACCCAGCTCAACACCCAGCCCCGATACCCACGGTGCCCCCAACTGTGGAGACCCCAGGAGGCTGCCTGCCACACCCCACCCCTGCCCCCTCAGGAGCTGATCTCGGGCCATTTCGGGGAAAACAGTGCTTCCTATGAGGCTGAACTCAAGGAGCTGGAGGACCTGAGACAGGTGTGTCTCCTACTCCCTGCCCCCACCCCCTCCCCACCGACAGGAACCAACCAGTTGCTCAGTGTGGACACCGGGAAGCTGGGGGACAGACAGACACACTCACGTGTGCAAAGAGGGTGGCAGAGACCAGGGACCCTCTGGCCATCCTGGGGTTCCTCTTAACCTCTGACCCCAATGCCGACCTCTGGGGGAAGATGGCACGGCCTCCATTGGGAGTGGAGGGGCGCCCTGCTAGTGGACTCCCCAGGCAGTGAGGCCTAGCCGGGCTACTTCCTGCAGGCCGTGCGGATGCCCAGCCGGGACCAGACCGGCCTGGAGCTGCTGATGACCTACTACAACCAGCTCTGCTTCCTGGACGCCCGCTTCTCCACACCTGGCCAGAGCCTGGGCCTGCTCTTCCACTGGTAAGGATGAGGGCCGGGGGCTTCCCGAAGGTCTCCCTCCCACTATCCTCCCACTCTCCGGCCTCACCAACCCTGTCCCCGCCCCTCAGGTATGACTCGCTCACAGGGGTTCCAGCCCAGCAGCGGACCCTGACCTTCGAGAAGGCCAGCGTGCTCTTCAACATTGGTGCCCTCTACACCCAGATAGGGGCCCGCCAGGATCGTTCCTGCTCCCAGGGCGCAGATCGAGCCTTCAGGGCTTTCCAGCAGGCTGCAGGTGAGGGACCCCAGCGTGGGGATGGTGGGCCCCCAGCCCCGGATGAGTGCTCCCCCCCAGGTGCTGCTGGATGCTGGTTGTATAGGGTGCAGGGCAGGGACCCCGGCATGGAGGCTGAGCGGGGGCCTCGTCCTGGGGTGAGTGCTCCCCTCCGCAGGGGCCTTCAGCCTCTTGAGGGAGAACTTCACACACGCGCCAAGCCCCGACATGAAGCCCGCCTTGCTCCACGTGCTGGAACGACTCATGACTGCTCAAGCCCAGGAGTGTGTCTTTGAGGGCCTCTCGCTGCCCGCCCCTGCCACCTCCCAGGACAGCCCGGCCCAGCTGCAACTGGCCCAGGAGGCTGCCCAGGTGAGGAAGGACAGCCCCCACCCCACCCAGAGTCTCGACCCCCAGTGGGCAGGAGGGTTTGGGAGTGAAGGTGCAGCAGGGAGGGGCAGGGCCTGGGTGGACAGGTCAAGGTAGCCATACGGGGTTCTCAGAGCTGGTGTCCTGCCAGAATCCCGGGATCCGACCCCAAACCACACGTTCCACAGCCGTACTTATGAATGGAAACCCCGACTTCTATCAGCGTAGTAGCTTCTGCCCATCTTTTGGGGAGGGGAAGCATCAAACAGCAGTTTGGGGTGGGGGACTGCTGGACCTGGCTTGGGGTAAACAGAGGCCAGGCCCTGGACTGGGGTGGGTGAGGCTAGAGAAAACCCCGCTGGACTCCCCCTGTGTCTGATGGTAGGTGGCATCTGAATATGGCCTCGTACAGCGGGCCCTGGCCCAGCCGCCTGCCCGGGACTGTGTGCCTCGCTCCTGGGCCGCCCTGGTTCTGGCCAAGGCTGAGTATTTCCGGGCCCTAGCCCACTTCCACATGGCCGTAGCCCTTTGCGACAGCCCCCGTGAGTGTCCTGCCCTGTGTGTCTGTGTGGGAGGCGGGGAACAGGCACTGGGGGCCAAGCTTACACTGTCTCTGCCCCCAGCGTCCACCCAGGGAGCCCTCCCCATCCTAGAACAGGGCTTTGGGCCCATCTGGGCCTCAGAGCCGGAGGAGCGCAGGAAGCGTGGTAAGCATAAGGGAAGGTCAGTGGGAAACTTACAACCTGCCCAGTGGGGGGACCTAAGGGGTGGGGCACACCTGGGGCAGCATTCCTGGACTCCTAGTGGCCTGGCAGTCCACTCCCCAAGCTAACATCAGATGCCCTCCCCTGACCCTCTCTTGCCTGTCTGACTGGGACCGTCCCCACACCATGTGACCGCTGATTCCTGTCGCAGGTAAGGCCCACCTGAGACGCGCCATCCTGGGTCAGGAGGAGACACTCCGGCTGCATGCCATGTGTCATGTGCCCCGTCAGGTGGATCTGCTGCAGGCCGTGGTGACGCAGGCATTACGGCGCTCGCTGGCCAAGTACTCGGAGCTTGACCTCGAGGATGACTTCTTCGAGGCGGCCGAGGCCCCCGACATCCAGCGTGAGTGATGGGTCTGAAACCCTGGGAGCTCCCCTACCCCCTCAACTCCACCTGTCCTGCCCCAGAGAGGGACACAAAGCCACTGCCACCTAGCCCAGCCTGGTGGCCCCCCAAGCCAGACTTCCGGGAACACTTCTCAGTGAACCCCTATGGATCCCTGTGCAGACACCTGAGCAGGCAGCTCCTCTGGGTGACAGGTGACAGGGGCCGGCTGGCCTCTGGCTCCCCTTTGTCTTCCCCCTTTCAGCCAAGACCCATCAGAAGCCAGAGATCAGGCGGCCCAGCTTCTCCCAGGTGAAGGGGGCCGACATTTTTCACAGGCTGGTGAGCGCTGACCCCGGAGCCAGCCCCCCACTTGAGCGAGGCCAGCCTGGGGTGGACGGTGGGGGAGGGGGGATAGTCAGGCCCAGGGGCTCTGACCTCCGACCCAACCCCGCCCCAGGGGCCCCTGTCTGTGTTCTCAGCCAAGAACCGGTGGCAGCTGGTGGGGCCAGTGCACATGACCCGAGGAGAGGGGGGCTTCGGCTTTACCCTGCGGGGAGACTCACCTGTGCTCATCTCTGCCGTCATCCCCGGGGGCCAGGCTGCGGTAAGGGGCCGCCCACCCACCCCCAGCCCAGTCACCGGAGCATGAAGCTTCACCTGCTCACCCACATCCCCGCAGGCAGCTGGCCTCAAGAAGGGCGACTACATTGTGTCGGTGGACGGACGGCCATGCAAGTGGTGGAAGCATGCGGAGGTGGTGGCGCAGCTGCGCAGTGCCGGTGACGAGGGCGTGGACCTGGGCGTGGTCACGCTGCTGTCTGGTGCTGAGCCACTCGGCATGGTGAGGCCCAGCCACCCGGCCCACCAGTCCCACACTGATGTTCTAGAGGGACACCCCCAAAAAGAAGGAGTGGGCAGTCAGCCTGCACTAGTGGGCCCTTTCAGGTGGGCTCCACCTCCTGCAGGCCCAGCAATCCCTGTTGTTTCTTTGTGGACACTCCTGTCCAGCCATCAGCTGCGCCTGTGTCCCCAGCACTCACTGGGGGTCCTGGCAACCCTACCCCAGAGGGGAAGCAACAAACCGGGCCCCAGTGTGCACGCAGCCTGCCCTGTGGGGTGACTGTGTGTGTCTCTCCGTGCAGGGGGGCCGCCGGCTAGCCCTGCTGGCCCCAGGGAGCCTCCTGAGAAACCAGAAGGAGTGTCCTCTTGAGATGGCAGCACCCCCCCGGGCCAGCCCCAAGCCCCTCCTCAGCTGGAACCACAAGACCCAGGGAGGCAAGGCCACGGGCTGTCCCTAAGGGCTGTCCACCATGCCGGCCCCTGACCCTTGAGGGCCCCCCTCACCTCCTCAGTGTTCATGAGGCCATGAGGGGCTGGTTCTTCCTGGGGGCCCTTTAGACCAGTGCCAGCCCTGCCTAGACCCCAGGGTTTCCAGGACCCCTGCCTGCCATTAAAGACCATCTTCAAACCAGTGAGATGTCTGTCCAGTCCTGGCCACTGTGCATCCCTGCTACCCCGGCTCCCTCAAGCCAGCTGCCTGTGCTGACCCCGACCCAGCTTGTCCACACCTAGCCCTGCTCCAAGTTCCAGCCTGGTCCCAGTGACAACTCCATCTGCCTCCCTTGGGAGTGGATGGGGGTGGCTTCATCCCCAGGCACCAGGCTGCCCTGCCCTGCCCTGCCCATCTAGGGGAGGGCCCAGCAGGATCCCAGGCCGCCTCCACGCTCCATGGTCTCCTCTCCACCCTCCACTTCCCCCCCACACCCCATGACAGACAAGCTTTAGCAGCTGCGTGTCAAGGACAGCAGGGAACCCTCAGCATCTGTCCAGCCCCTGCTCCTCCAGCCATGAAACCCCCAGGTCCCCAAGCTGGGAAATGAGGACAGTGGACAGGCCCCAGAAGGCCATAAGGTGGGAGGTGAGGTGGCTGTGGTGGTGGTTGTAAATACGACTGGTCTGAGCTAGGAAACATTGATGTAGGTACTCAGACCTGCATACCTCACCAAGGGTTCCCAAATACCGGGCATGAGGAGGAGAGAGGTGGATAAAGACATCACCCCCTTGTAGCCACCAGGGGGCAGCCGATACATGCGCAAGTGGCTACAGGAGGCAGAATTTCGGGCGTGCTAGGTTTGGACTTCTGGTGTGATGCTGTATAATCAGCACTGGCTTGGGAACCACCAGATCCTCAGTTCAAATCCACCGGCTGCTCCTCAGAAAGCAAAGGTCGCTATGAGTCGGAATCGACTCGACTGCACTTAACAGGTTTGGGCTCCTGATACGGTGCTGTAGGGCGAACACTGGACTGTTAACCTCGAGGTGGGTGGTTCAGACCCATTATCTGCCCCTTATGCAGGGCCTCTATGACTCCACTCATCAGCATTAACAACAGGTTTGGGGAAGATGAAGGGCAGGAAGGAAATCAGGAAGCTCTCCCCAGGCAGAGCTCCCTACCCCGTGCTGTCTGCTCCAGGCTCAGTGTCCCTCTGCACCCTTCCTGCTTTCTCCGCGAAGTCCTAGGTGTGAGAATAGAGAGCTGTGTTGGGGTGCCCTGGTGTGTGTGCATGCTCCTGTGAGCAGGGTGTCAGTACAAATACACACGTGTGTATGCGTGTTGTCTTGTGGTTGCTGTCGCGTCAATTCCAACGCATAGAGAGACCCTCTATAGGGTTTCTGAGGCTTTAAATCTGCTGGGAGCAAAAGGCCTCACCTTTCTCCTGCTGAGAAAGTGGGCTCAAACTGCCAACCTTATGGTCCGCAGTCCAGTGTTACTGCATGGAGCTACCCTGCTCCCAGGTGTGCATGGTGGCTATGTGCCGTGGAGTCGGTTCTGACTCATAGCGACCCTGTACAGGGTTTCCACGGCTGTAAATCTTTACTGGAGCAGAAAGCCTCATCTTTCTCCCGCAGAACAGCTGGTAGTTTGAAACTGCTGACCTTGCGGTTCGCAGCCTGATTCATAACCACTACGCTACATGAGTTGGGCATAACTGAGGGCCCTGTCGGGGTGGATCTGCATAGGGCGCGGGGGGCTTAGGGGGGCGTAGTTGAGTGTGTGTGTGTGCGTGATGTGGGTGGGAGCATTGAATGCCATGTGTTGTGTGTAAGAGACTGCATGATGAAGGTGTGGCTGCAGCTGCATGAATGGGTGTGTGAGACACAGTGTGGGGGTGAATTGTGGGTGTCAGACTGGGTGTGTGTGAGATTGCGTGGGGGGGGTGAAGGTGTGGAAGTGAGACTGTGTGTGAGGGGAAGATGTGGATGTTGGGGGGCACCGGCGGCTGGATTTAAAAGTGTGAGGGCCAGGTGTGCCCCCCCTCAGGGAAAATCCCCATCTCAGCAGAACTGGCCAAGGTCGCCCAGGTCTCCCAGCTCTTATTAATTTGATTAATAAAACTGTGTGTCAAGGAGGCCATTACACGCTAATCGGGGCTGACAGGGTTGGCAGGGCCTGTCCGGGAGATGCAGAGGGGTGGAGGGTGGGAGTTGCCCTCAGCTGGCCACTTCCAGATGGGGGGATGGGGGTCCGTTCCCCACCTGGAGATGGACTGGAGGGGCCAGGGTAGGGTGGACACTCTGTGCAGCCTCCCTGGCGTCTCCTCTCAGACGGCTGAATCGGCAGTCGGGAACTATGGCTGCTCCAGGAGGCTGGGTGGGGTGGACAGCATGGTCCCTTGGCCCCAGAAAGACCCCGTCCACCCCCGGGGGCCAGGACTCAGGCCAGAGGGTGGAAAAGGCCTTCAAGGTGTGGTAGTGGCTGTGCTCTGCACCCACAGAACCTAGGTGTCCAGCCGGGCTGCCTATGGGACCGGCTGCCCGTAAGAACTGGCCTAGCCAAGCCTTTCCCATGTGGGCAGCGCTGACTGACCAGGAGCCCGTATGTGCATGCATGTTAAAATCAAGGTGGACCTCTTCTGCTACCACACCGCCCCTCCCCCGGCTCCCAGCTCCAAGTCCCGACTGGGGCTCCACTCCCGCCCTGCAGGAACCGGCTTTTTATGATGAGCGCTTCTGTCAACACCCTTGGCCCCGCTTGCCCGCCACACCATCGTAATGTGCTCAGCAATCTTGGACCAAACACAAGGCCACACGGGCTCCGACAGCGGCCAGTGCTTCTAGAAGATTCCAGGGAGGTCTTCAGTGCCTGACAGAAAGGGGCGCGCCCAGAGCCCCCGTTGGCGCTGGGCTCCGCTTGGTCCCCATTGCCAGCGTGGTGAGGGGTGGGAGGTGCGCGGGCACGCGGCGCGGCCTGGGCGCCAGCAGGACTGAATACGCGCCCGGAAGGCGCGGACCCACGCGGAATATTTCATCTTCCAGAGTGGCCCCCCTGGGCGGCGAGGTCTTTTTTGCTTCGCCAACAGAAAACTGGCGAGCTGGGAAAGGCATGCTCTGTTTCGCTTGGGTCAGCAGCAGCAGCAGCGAGCCGCAGCGCGGATATTAACGCGGGGAGAGGAGGCCCGCCGGAAGTCAGGAATGGTTAGGGAAAGGACAGCGGGGTCCCTGCTCTGCCCCACCCTGCTCTCTGGGTTTGGAGTTAGCACACTCCCCCAGCTTGACTGGGGGCGCCCAGTCCGGCACCACCCACCCCACCTGAGTCTAACCTGGATCCACCAGCGGTGGGGGGCTCAGAGGAGCTTCCAAAGCAAGGCCAATCCAGTCTGTACCCCAGCTAGAGCCCCGGAAGCAGGGTCCTCTGAGCCTGGACCCCTACTGGTGCCTGCACTCCCCATCCACCCACCCCCAGGACCCTGGGACAGAGAAGCAGGCAAGTGGGCACTTGGAAAGCATGCAGGGGTCAGAGGGGTAAGATGCCCCAAAGCCTCCCCACCCCACCACCACCAGCTTCTCTCTAGAGGCAGAGCTAGTGTGATCCCAGATCCTGGGTAACCAGATGCCAATGGGTAGGGGGCTGTAAGGGGGAGAAGCCATACATATCATGAGGGGTCTATCTCAGGACAGAGCAGGGAGCTGAGTTTGAGGTGGGCTAGACCCTGAACCTCCAGATGGTCACAGAAAGGACATTACTGTCTTGGTTTCCAAACCTGCCACCCTCTGCGGTGGGTTGGATGATGGTCTGAAACAATCTGGCCATCCAGAGCCTCAGCATGTGCCTTGTTTGGAAATGGGTCTTTACAGGCAATTTACATAAAGCATCTCCGGGTGAGACCACCCTGAATCAGCCAGGTCTAGAATCCAATGACTAGGTGCTATGGGATAAACACTGGCCTGCTAACCACAAGGCTGGCAGTTCAAGCCCACCAGCCGCCCTCAGAAACCCAGTTCGGGGTCAACTACAAGTTGGAACAGACTCGATGGCACAACAGCAGCACAGAGACTAGCAGATACGCAAGGAGACAGCGTCTGAAAACAGGAAAGACCACCAGGTACAGCAACCACCCACCAGGAGCTGGAAAAGGCCAGGCAGGACTGTTAGAGGGCTTCAGAGCAGCCTGACCCTGCTACCTGACTCCCAGACGTGTGGCCTCCAGGGCTGACGGAGAGTGAGGGCCTGCTGTCTGAAGCCTGGCTGTAGTCACCCTGGAGGGACTGCGGAGACGGTGGGCTGGGCAGCTGCTGCCTTGACGCCTCTCCAGAGAGTCCCTCCACTGCCCTCTGTGAACCCCAGCATGGCCGCACTGGGTGATCTGCTGCTATCTCTGTCGCCAGGGCCCTGGCATCCACTGTCACCCCCGTGAAGCCCACCCCCTGGGAAGAGCCAAGCTAGAAGACAACTCTCAATAGTCCCTGTACCCCAACACCACCTTTTCCATAGATTCTACCCTGAACACCTTGGCCGAACTCAGACAGACACCACCAGCCCTGGAGCCTCCCTCCTCCCACTGACGGGGAACCGGGCCAGGATGGAGTGAGGTTGTTGTTAGCACCATGAGCTGCACAGGGCTACAGAAAGCCAGCCCCCTCAGGGGTCAAGATGCAGCCAGTCCTGAGGGTTTATGGAGAGGAACCAAGGAGCCGATAGACAAGCAGGACTGAGGCAGTGGGCTCTGACGTCGGTACTCCTCACACCACGTGACTGTAGGGTAACAGGATGCTTCAGGGTCCTCTAGGGCTACTGAGGCTGCCCGCCATGACACCAGCTGTGTCCCTTCTGCTCCGTGACACTGACTCCCAACCCCAGCCTGCCACTAGAAGTCTGATGAGCTGGAGTACACATCAGTGAGCAGAGGGGACATGAGACCAATGAAAGCTAGGCAGTGGCTGGGGACACTAGGGGACACCAGCTGAGCCCCTAGAGTAAGAAGAGGTGTTGTTTCTGACTGGACCCATTCCACACTTG